CAGTACTACACATGCTGAGCAACATTCCTGTAAGGTTTCATGACTCAAGGTCAAATACTTTTTTAGTAACGTGGGATACAAGTTGAAAATTGGAAATTTTACTAATGCAAGGGCAATAACTCTAAAAATACTAAATATATCCACACAAAAATAGCCAGGTGCAGAACTACACATGCTGATCAACATTCTTGTAAGGTTTCATGACTCTAGGTCAAATATTTTTTCTGTAACTTGCGACACAAGTTGAAAATTGCAAATTTTTACTAAGTCAAGGGCAATACTAGTAACTCTAAAAATACACAAGTTGAAAATTGCAAATTTTAACTAAGTCAAGGGCAATAACTCTAAAAATACTAAAGATATCCACACAAAAATACCCAGGTGCACACTACACCTGCTGAGCAACATTCCAGTAAGGTTTCATGACTCTAAGTCAAATATTTTTTGAGCTACGTGCGACACAAAAAGAGAAAGGACGGATGGATGGAAGGAAGAAAGGACGGACGGAGAAGGGTAAATCTAAATGCCCCTCTATAGTGGGGGCACTAGAACTTCGCAAATATGTAGAATCATGGTTCTTTGACACTGCACTTCTTACTCACCTCTATTAAATTGAAAATTCAATGAGATATCACCAATAATTTAAAAGTTATACTCCTGATAATCAAAAATTAAACAAGGAAGTGTTATAGTTCTTGGAGACTGCATTTTGTCTCACTGGTCTATTATTACTGTGTGAAGTTACAATGAAAATCCTTCAATACATTTTAAGTTATTCCCAAAACAAGAGTATGAAGGGAGGAAGGAAGGAACAATAAGGAGCAACAATATTGTTCTCCCTTTAGGGAACAGAAATTTAAGCTTCTTAACTAATTCTCCTGGTCGAGTTATGGACGGGACAAGAAGTGTGACAGACGGACAGGAAGAGTGTTATTCTATATTATAACCCCTTTTTTCTTTGAAAATTTGGCATTTCAAAGTCAGGACATCTTTTCCACTAGATAAGAAATTGACACTATTTAACCATGTACAGATGAAAGAAATATACAGGTAGTATTAATATTTTAATCAAAATCTAAGAACAATTGGTATACATAATGAATATATAATTTAAAATGATAACTATCAAAACAAAAATATTTAACATAGCTCTTCAACTCTATCAATATGTTTTTATTATGGTGAATACTAATTATTTAAAAAAATTGTTCACTTTTCATCTTTTTGTCGTAATTGTCATTACTTCATTTCAGTTTTGTTATATTATACTAATTATTTAAAAAAATTGTTCACTTTTCATCTTTTTGTCATAATTGTCATTACTTCATTTCAGTTTTGTTATATTTTTCTGATTCTTCCAGATCATTGATTCCAGCACATTTAGTTTTGAAAGATTTGAAAATGGTTTTAACTTTTTAAGTTGTTGTAAAGTGAACAAACAAATCAATCTAACCTAGTCACTTTATTTTTTTTACAGAAATCATTTATGATATAAAAATTATTGGTACAAAAACAACACAAATCCGTAACAGATGAAGGAATGTGTACACAGTTTATATTGCACATAAATTAATTTATAAACACAAGAACTTTCTTAGTCTTTTAATAATTTACCAAGCCTCTACACGTATTTATGGTAGGTAAAAAACATAAAATACATTAATGTTTGCCAAAGACATTGTGACAAACAAAAACGATCAAAAATATTTGTATTCTTTCTTATTTTACAAAATCATCCAGAAATACATCAGCATTTCAAGACCAGCTACTATGCCGTTATATGCAAGTTAGCAGAAGGGATAATATGACATTCCACATGCTCATAGACTTGTTAAATCAATACAATATTACCCGGACCAAACTAGCTACTGGAAAACAATAAATCTTTCTTCTGTATAGCATGTCATCTTTCAACCATCAGGGGTCACTGCCAAAGTCCCATATCAAAGCTCATGAAGCAAAACATACATACACAATGAGAGGACTTTATGAGGAAATTGGTGTTTATTTATAACGAAATATTTTGCAATTTTTATGTCCAGTGACAGTGTTCTTTTGATATCAGAAAAAGTACAAATAGGTTTAGAGGCTTTAAACATATGTTTATCAAATATTCTTTATAACAAATGTATCAACTGAAATATAAACAAAATATTGCTGGAAATTCTAGACTTTTCATACAATAATAATTTCCAGAAAATAATTATATTACACATACATTATATGCAACATATTTTCTTTTTTTTTCTATAACTCTTTCTGTAATGTGAGAAAATAAAAAATCAATTTACTCATTTTAAGGAAACTTTACACAAAAATTTGACAGTAAAATGAAATTATGTGTCTCCAAATAATGTTTCAAAATGACAGAAATTGGTTTGTGTTTAAAGGGATTTTGATTTCTTCTTTTGCATTTTTCATTCATTACTCTGTGAATGTCCTCAAAATAAATACACTAGGCAGTCACAGGAACAAAACTTTTCTCCTTATAAGGACAAAATGGTTGTTTCCTAATTTGACCCACGTGGGTCAGGTTAGTACGTTTAGATTTAACAATAGTTGTCACAGTGAATTCTGGAAACGTTAAAGAACATTTTAAATGAATGACTTAAGACTTGTTCCAATCATACAATATCTGATATTGTAACTTCCAAGGTTTGTTCAAGTTACATGACTTGTTTTAAAACTTTGTTTAATATATATATTTACAGGTCAAACCCAAATTATATAAAATTTATACAGAAATTCATGCTGAGACTTTAAAAATGTCATTTTAGTGTTATGTATGCAACATATTACATGTATATAATTTATATCTGACCAGTTGGTATTTCCAATATTATCATTGTTCTATTTTTAGAACATTAACTACATGTATGTACTAGAACTTTCTTAACTGTTGTAGAAAACTCATGCATTATATTTAGATAGAAACTTCTGGAATGTTCTTTATTGTTGAAGTTGCTAGATTATGATTACTTTAGAACATAATAGACCTTTCTGGAATTTTCTTAGATAATATATATAAAGTGACATTTTTCATTACTTTTACCTTTTAAGTCATCAGTGATCTTTGAAGTCATCAGTTACCTTTAAGTCATTAATATATTTGGAGTATTATTCAACTTGGATATTAAGTGATTTATTGGAGCTTGGATTATTTTAAAATAGTTAAATTTATTCTTGTGGATTTTATTGTGGGAATTTATTCTAAAGTGTTCTTGGATTTAACTGTGCAGTCTTCGAATTAACCCACTCGACCGACGACTCGCACTCGACCGACGACCGAGTCGAGTAAATTTGCGGGTGGTCGAGTGAAAATTCCAAGCTGGTAGCCCGTCTGGTCGAGGGCTTTTTTCATATCCAAATTAGGAAAATGTTGGAAATATGCAGAGCTCCAGATAGCAATGTTTTGGCTTTATGAAAATACTATATATTTCTGCTGAATTGGATGGAAAACTAAAAGTACTATTGTCAACACTGCTTAAGTTGAAACAAAAGTAGCAGGAAGTGACATCGAGTAAAAAGGGAAGGTAACTCTTGGGAGTTTCTGAAATGAAATTATTGATAAAGTTAAATTTGGTGTAATTATCGTAGGACTTAACCTAATATTCAATTTGTTTAGACATATATTCTAATGTTTTTGCTACAAAATAAAGAAAAATGTTGTACTTGCCAGCATATTTCTCCCTTGCCATCTGCAGTTTTGTACTCAATATTTTTGTACCAAGTTTACAGTTACGGACAATTTCCTCAAAGACTAATTCTTTGTGTATAAAAGTTTTAATTCTATTATATTTATTTTTCATTAATTCTAATTTCAATTATAAATAATCAAAACCAAAGAACGACACTAAAATGTAGTCTGTATAAATAGAGCATGAATAAAGCCTCATGCTGACCTGATGTAGCTGATTGTAAAAGAATGTGACACATTCAAACAACAACATGTCAGCAACAAAAAAATGAGTCTTGTCATTAATTTGCTGTGTAACCTAAACAAACCCTAGTCTAGGGAAGCCTGCCTTAACAGAGCAAGTTTTGTAATATTTCACATTGAATCAATATTTTATTATATAAGTCAGTCTGATTTATGTAAAAAAAGAAAAGTTTAGAAGGCAATGAAATTTGATAACAAAACAATGCAAATTCTTTTTATAAATTTTACCCCAGAATTTTCATTTTACTCTAGATTTTGATGGGTAAACCACCTTGGCCCTAAAAATTATTTGCAGCTTTATTGAACCTAAAACGCTTATGAAATATTATTGATTGTTAGACATTTATTAGGCATCATCTCATGCTTCACAATATGTCTCTTCTCTTGTATTTTGAAGGCACTAAGCCAAAAAGGAACACACCAAAAAAAAAAAGTAATACGAAATGGGAATATAAATATGTTGTCAATGCATGTATCAACCGACATGGTTACAGTAAACGAGGAGAAGAGTATTTTCAGTTTTTAAACAATTTTTTTCAGTGTGACTGTGGACAATGCCACAGAAATATCAAAATATCTTCTTTTCATAATTATGTAGTTTAAACTCTTCTTATTTACATAATGAAAGGAAGAAAAGTTGATTAGTTGATATTTTGATAATGTTAAATGGTATATAAAACATATAGAAAGTGTTATTTTTGTACAAAATGCATGCAAAAAATACCATTTTGGTTCGGGCTAGTTAAAATGTGTTCGGGCTAGTGAAATTTGTAAGCTGCCAGCCCGACTGGGCTAGTGCTGATAAAAAATTAAGGCGAAGACTGACTGTGCTATTCAAAAAGGGATCATTCCAGGATCAGACTAGACATTAGATTTTACATTTATATTTGGACTTCAGGTATTTGTACACATAATTTGTTGTTTTGATTTTCTTTATTAATTTTTATGTAATAAATTTGTTATTGTTACAAGTTTGTTGCTGGCTTTTCTTTCTCGTTACGCCTGGCTCGTAACATTAGCATGATTTGAGTACATAAGCTAATTTTTAATATTTTAAAAAAAATTTTGTCATTAATTTGCCTGAGTATCCCTTTAAATCTAAATATCTTACCCACTCTTTTACCCTTAACACTAATAAACACACTTGTCCATCTTTTAATCTTCAAAAAAACATTCATCAATTTTAGGAAATTTTTAAAATATGTACTGATTAAATATCAAACAGTGAAAACCATGATCATAAGGCATTGATGTATTGTACACTGGTTGTATGGGTAGATATTAGTTACAACAAGCAGTTCGTCAATTTTTATGAGAAATAAGTACAATGTATCAAGTTTAGATTTGAGTGAAGCTAGTGGTAATGCACTCCTGTGAGATTTTAGAATATTTCTATTAAACAATGTTTGACAAAAACAAAGCCAGGAGTACGTCCTAAAGTAGCTTGCATTCAACTTATGGGGGCTTACAGAGTACTGTTTATATACATAAAGTTAAAGCATCAATAGATTTCTCAATTAACTTAAATCAACTTCAATTATATTATATAATGTTCTTGTTGATGATATATCAGATTAGAGTACACAAAATAATTATATCAGATTAGAGTACACAAAATAATTATCACAGTACTGCATAAACATCACTATGTCTTCCTCTATGACTGAACAGTTGCAGGAACAACAGGCTTCACTGGCAGTGTTATGTTTGGTAAAATATTGCAGCTCCTAACTATATCAACCTTGTCCTCTAACTGGAACAAATCATTTGTTGTATTCCTCATATGGTGTGACACGTCCTGTTAATAATAATAAATAAAAATTTGATGTTTTATTTGTTTGGTATTAACACTGATTTTTACACATGTTTGGTCAGTCCATGTAACCACCTTTCCTGGATAACTAACCTGTTATAACGATTTTCTTTAGAAGTGACTGACTACTTATCCCACACAAAATCTGAATCATGTCGGGAACAAATGACTTAATGTCCCAGATCAAATTCACCTCACCTGGATCAAACCAGCAACCCCTGGATTAAAAATCTGGTGATTTCTCCCTATAATAACTACATAGATGTGAGGGGTAATTAAGTAAAATGATGTAATTATATTTTCAGTTCTTATAATGTTTTCTTTTCATACAATACCGAAATAATATCTCACATACACTAACGCCACATATTTGATCCATATCAGTTTATGAATATTTTGACAAAACGGCGCCAATCCGTAAGCAGCGTAATGACGTCATCGTAAGTACACAACTCATTCATAAACAAGCTGACATTATTTCATATATACAAGAATGATAAATGGGGCACTGATGTAAACACAATACGACGTAAGTTTTTATTGTTGAAAACTTGATAAAATAACGTTCATCTTATTATTTATTTTGTTTAATAATTTCTATATCTTCGCAACAGTAGGGTGCGAAAATCGAACAGCGTTATATGAAAATCGGCACCGGAAGTTATTTCCACTTGAAAAAATAACATTAGTGATCTTCCTTATTTTATCGTGATAGAATCGAAATAACATCGGCCTGAGAGGTGTATATCGGCTATTTAACACCGGTTTTGTCGTTTTGATGTGAAAAATTTAACCACTCAGGCCAATGGCCTTCGTGGTCAATTCCTCCGCATCAAAACTCCAAAGTAAAAACTTTAAAGAAGAGACTGATGTGTAACTAAGGTTAATAAAGTTATAAATGGGAACAATGCGAAATAAAGTTATGGGATATGATCTCTATTTTTCATAATACAAATACTTACTTGGATAGCTATATGTGACTTCTGAAGTTGAATTGTCAGATTATGTAAACCAGTGGCAGCCTGTGTATAACTTTGATGTATTGTGTCTACAATATGCCTTCTTAAAGCTATATTTCTCTCACCTGTAACCACAATATTATACTGTTACAGAGATACACCAGTTATAGCAATATCACAAGAAAGCTTAAGAATATCTCTAAAAAGTTGATTCAGATCATGTGACTTTTCTTTATACATGTATATAGAAAATAAGCTACAAGACACAGGAAACAGTTTACTATTTTCACTGCTTGATAGTAGAGCAAAGGCTATATTGTTTTTGTTTCTTTTTTTTCAGAGGGAAAATTCAGAGAAAATTGTTGCTAAAGTTGTTTTCTTCAAAGGTGATCTTTACTGATTATCTTGAATGTATATGTGTGTAAAGTTTAAACATAATTCTTTTACTGGTTCTGGAGATGGAACTGACATGAAAATATTTACCAGGAATTTTCTAATTTCACAAAGGGATACAATTCAATTGAAATTCGTGCTAGAGTTATGGGACTTGGACACAACCAAGCTACTATGTCCCCCATCCCATAGACATGTGTGAAATTTCAACAGACTATCTACAGTTTACAGTGAGATTGGAAAATACAGGCAAAACCTTACCCAAAATTGACACATCAATGGCAAGGTTTGTAGGGTAGACCTATCATTTATCAAATAGTCAGCAGAATGAGTTTATGCAAACAATCTTGGTAGAGGTCTACTATCCACAAATATCTGATATGTCTATATGCAAAAATATCAATGCGTTATTTCTTCATTATGGGCTTAGTGGCAGCAGAATGTAAGATTAAAGCCAAATTTGACAGACAGGCATACAGTAAAAGTGGAATGTGGTCTGGACTTAAATATTTTGGTGAAATTAAACCAATTTCAAAAGTTTATACAATATTAACAAATAAACATTATATAATATATATATATATATTACAAAATTTAATTCCTAATAATAAAGGATTTTAGTTTTATATTGAACAACTGTCTTGAAATCGATTATTATCTTATTACTTACTTAATTTTCTATTCAGAAGTCTGAAATAAAAAGAAAAGAAAACTTGAAAATAATAAATATGGCACAATTAAAGGCTAACTTGCAAACTGAAAAATTCATTTTAGTTTTTTAATGAAAAGAAATAACAAGATAATGTCATAAAGAAAGTACTTTAACCTTTTCCCTCATATAGACGTGTTTTGACGGCTTTTCGTCCCCCCCCCCCCCTTTTGAGGGCTCAAACAGTGAAAAAATGCCCTATTTTGGCCCCAAACACTGTTTTTCGTTTGAGAAATGTTGTTAAAAAAAGTGACTGTTTGGGGGGTTTGAAGGGGGAGCAGTAGTCCCCCTCATTGCCAAGAAAATTTTGGGCATGTGACAGGCTTAAAATGGCCTCAGGGCGATCTTAAGGTAACGTGTAACTGATGCTGAAAAGCCTTTTACTCTATTTCAATTCATTGAGAAGTTGCAGCACTTTGAAATCAGTTTTGATGGAAAAAAACAATGCAAAATAGTGATTTTTGGCAATTTTGAGACGTCCCCCCATTGCCATGGTAACAGGAAATTTACAATTGAGCATACTGTTACAGAGGCTATTGTCTAGTCAACATTTGTGTTTCATCAGTATTGAAGTATTTTCATAGTTTTATAGCAGTTTGAACTTGTTAGAGGTGGCTTTTCAATGAAAACGGCCATTTTTCGCAATATGCTCATTGGGTAAAAGGTTATATATATTAAACAGAAAATATTTTTCTTTGTGAAGAAAAAATATACATATTTAGCAAAATCTAGGCACAAATTAAAAAATAGGTTGAATTGATATTACATAAAATTGCTGGAAAATTGTAACTATAGCTATTTAGAATATACCAGCTATATACTTACGTATTATATTTCGGTTTTACCTCCTTCTGCTGTGAAGGTAATGATGGTGATTGTGGTGATGTTAAGTCAGTCGTGTCCCCTTTCTCTGATGTATTCACTGTAGAAAAATATCAATTTGCTTTATTTTCCATTATAAAATTATACAGGTATATTACATCATAATTATATAAATACTAAAATTCAATCATTTTGTTGGATTTGTAATCTACTCAAAAAATTTTAAGATTGTGTAAAACAACACCATGGAAATTTACTTAATAAATTGGTGGAAGGAAACTAAAAGTGCCTAAATCTTCAGGCATTATAAAGGGAACCATTACATGTAGGAGTATATTGTAGGAATATCCTCTGAATTACCAAATTACTAACCATCCCAGAAAGTAACATGTTTTAATTACCTTTAAATGAAACTTTTAACATCAACTTTGACAATGTAGAAGTTTTAATAAATCTGAAGACATATATTGAGCCAGATAATATTATGAAAATAATATCCACTTCTCTTCCAGGATAAAGAATGCACAGCTTTTATGTAACTAAAATAAAACACAAACCATTGAGTGGTAAGATTTGGCCTTCACTTGTTACAATTTCAAATTCTTCATCACTTTCCGATGCCTCGCCAGACACTATGACACCAGTGTTAACTGATACTTCGCCATCCTTGTGAGACACTATGCCACTTGTGTTTCCTGTCTTGTCACCATCTTTTTGACTGATTTCTTCAGTCAATCCACTTGTGCCAGCAGTGGCTGTGGTCTAAAATTACAATTATATAATATTAAACAACACCACATATATAAATAATTTGTATATCAGCAGATAAGTGGAGGAACAATCATTGTGTATGGGGTACAGTATCAGACTCCAGTGGTTTTTTTTCACATTAAGGGGAATGATGACATGGCCCATTGAGAGGGGAAAATTGTATCATGGAGGCAGAAAAGGGGAAATTCAGAAACACAATAAACAGCCTATTTTAAGTGAAGTTTAATATAAATACTATTATTTCTTTACATTACAATGGCCTTCTCTTTCCCACTATTACAATTTACATTATTATGATAAAATGGATCTCAAGAAAAAAGGTACTTGTAAAAATTAGTTACAATGCATTTTTATGAATAACTGGTATCAAATTCAAATGAGCTTACAAGTAAATCTTTAAGACGTTTTAGTACACTTTAAGCTCCACATGATATCACCTGTATCATGTTTATTTACTGCATTATATAAACCCTTAACTGAAACTTCCAGCAATAATAATTTAACTAATTGAGTTACAGAAACTCAACAAGATGTCATTCTGATATAAAACAGTTACATACTGAAAACTTTTATACAGAATTTTAAAAACAAGAGCCAAGTGAACAGGGTAATGCTCCCCAAAAAGGTTTTGGACACAGAAAAGTATATCTTTTGTAGTTTCAGAGTTATGTCCCAGACAAAGTTCAAAGTGTGATAATTCCAAACATAGGCAAGGCAGAGTTACTGTTCTTTGCACTGCACATCTACTCAATGGGATCTAACTACTGAATGGCACACGACACGTCGTCTCAATGTGATGATCATTTCTGTGAATTAGTTGTAAAATCGGACTTCAAATAATGAAGTTATGGACCGGACATGATTTTGCTGCTTGAACCACTGGTGACATACATGTGAACTCTCCCACTTTTAGCGGGAGACTCCCACTTTCTGCAACTATATTTTCAAAGACTTTTCTTAAAATATTAAAGGGGTATTTTTACAAATTTTTTAAGAAAAATCTCCCACTTGATCATCGAAAAAAGTTCACATGTTTGTGGTGACAATGTAGTCAGCTATAAACTTGTTCATGTTTCTTTTGACCTTTATTAACTTTGGGCTAGAACTTTTGGCTAGCAATATCGGCCTGTACAGTTAGCCACTGCCTTAAAATAAAAACAGTGATTAACATATTTTTCAGTTTCATATTACTTATGTCATCACTGATATATATACAATATTTAGCTCCATGATGTCATGATTCATGAAACTGAAAACCGACTAATCTATATCAGGGTCTTTCAAATTAAATGGTCTGGAGTCGGGCCAATTGTACGAAAAAAGATGTCTCGGCTGATACACGTAATTAGGTTATTTACCTACCGTGATCTGATAGTACATCCCTGCTAAAAATCCAAGCATAAGATAATGTTTTGTTAAATCGATTAAAAAATTACTGAAAATTAATCATGGATACATTATATCATCAGTTTTTACTTTGAAAAGTATAAATTTTATAGATTTGGTTTGAAGTGAGGAAGTTTTCTTTCCCGGTGTTAATGTAAAAATCTACTGCTCTTATTCGAAAATAGGTCAGAGTTTCAAAAGCTTTTTAAATTTATGCATTGTTCAATGACAAAACTGAGATCAATTTGACAGAGCAAAAATGTTATTTAATTGTATCATGTAAAGATTTTATAATATTTCACAATGTTATTTACAAATATTTGATATTTAATTAATTTAATTTAGCGCTGTATGTCAGCAAATAGTCTGAACAAGCATTCTATGTTTTCAACAGATCAAGGCTTTTAACCTGGCATTACTTCATGAGAATTTTGTGAAAAATGGCTATTTTCATTGAAAAGTCTCCCATTACAAGTTCAAATTGCTATAAAACTATAAAAACTGCTTTAATACTAATCAAACTTAGCACACGTATTGACTGGACCATTGCCTTTGCAATAACATGCTCAGGCTTTAATTTCCTGTTACCATGGCAACGAGGGGACATCTCAAAATTGCCAAAAATCATTTTTTTGTGTTGATTTTTTCCATCAAAATTGATTTCAAAGTGCTGCAACTTCTCAATGGATTGCAGGCCCGTCGTCACGATTTTGTGATTGGTGCGGCCAATTTGATTGGTTTTAGGTAGAATCTAGGGGGGTACGGGGGCATGCTCCCCCGGAAATTTTTTTATTCTAGGATGCTCTCAGGGGCGTTTTCCCGTATATTTGGCACAGTATACAGCCTGCCGCTAGTACATGTTATAGTAATATGTCAACGATTTTTTTACAGATTTAAGTGCGTCGTAAGTTTTAAGGGTGAAATTTAAGGTTCGCATGACGGACGGACAGGTGTACATAAAAGATGAATACATGTAATTGATATTTGGCAAATGAAAAATAAACAATAACTGATGTTATTTTAATTCTTTAGATGCATTTTTATCTGATGATTATAAATAAACAATTAAAAGAAATATTACAGTTCGTGGATTATTGTTTAGCATTAATCACACAATGGTATAAGCTTAAATAACAATCAATGACATGATGGAAGAATAATTACGGGTCAACAATTTTTGTTTAGCAGTAACTTTTATTTTGTTAACAATAATCTTACACAACACAGAGTCTCATATTATGTAAATTTTCCAAAAATACATCGCCGTCGTTCTCTGGTAGTAATGAACTCATCGGCAATTACACGTAAGTTGAGTGAATCTGTCCTGTACTTATGAATATGTAACACCATTAGATTGTTCAAGAGTACTTGAGACATTGTCGATCTCAGGTATGTCTTAATTCTTCTGAACGCCGAGAATGTCCTTTCACTGGTAGCATAAGTAGCAGGCATTACTAACAAAATTATTAACAACACAACGACCTCAGAGAAAAGTGCTGACTGTTTTGACGTAAATTTCAAAATGTCAGGTAGAGTAACAACTGGTACTATTTTCTGATTTGTCAAAATGTGAACGTAGCAGCTGAATCTGCATATATAACATGTCTCGGTTAATATCGTTACCACAGAAATCTCAAACAAAACCAAGTTCTCTAGTGTAGTCGGTCTTCAAAGGTCGTGCAGCCTTTATAAGTAAATTCTCCACGTTTTGAAGTACGCGATATCCCGGTTGGTCAAATCTATCTTTAACCCAGGCGATGGCAAGATCGATTGCTTCAAAATACCTAGGCCGGAACACTGCACTGTAACAGGGTGGTAGCCAACACCGTGCCCCATCTCGAATCGTGTGGGCGCCTTTCTCTTTCTCAATCTCACTTTGAAGTTTAATCCATAAAGAATCAAATCTGTCGTCTGACCTCATGTCTATCAAACTATCTAGAGTCCGCTTTGCTAGCCGCTGACCCTCGGATGCTGACAATGAAACTTGTTGAGGAGATTTGCTGAGGTTGTCTGTCAATGCTAGGATGTCGTGTGCGAGCATTACACCGAAAAAGTACTCGAACTTGACTTCGTAGGACTCCTACATATACCAATTGTGTCCAGTTTTTACTTCGCGTCATGTTTGTATATTACCGCGCATTGCATAAGGGGCCAGTAAAGTGTCAAATTGATAATCAGCGATGCGTGTTTTTTTTTTTTTTTTTTTTTTTTTTTAAATAAATGATACATCAATTTTTAAAGAGAACTACTTAATAATTTTTGCTACATAACTATTCATATGACGAAAAAACTGGCTCAATGGGTATTTTCTGCTATGTTTTTCTAAGTGAAAGGCATGGAAAATTACCAATATTTTAACATGCAGCAATAGATAGAAGATTTACCTTTCAAATGGTATATAATATTAAAGGATAAAATGTACATCCATTAAGTTTTATTTGCTACAAAATGCCTAATTTTTCACTTTTTGATAGGCATGAGTGATATTTCAATGGAGTAGCCTGGAACCCCGTTGTATCGATCTATTTACCCATAAATCACAACTGCATTTTAAAAGATTAAAATCTCCCTGAATATTAATTTTGTATCATTTATTTTGATCTTTTTGCTATAATATTTACATGGCAAATATCACTGATATATACTTTTTAGCTTTGGAATATACGGATATTTACAGACATGTCAAACAGTTTGAAGAATTAGGTCACGCCATTATATCGATGTATTGTGACAATCGCTCAGTTAGCCAAAGTTTGGGAAGCCTTAACCATCTTTATGTTAGATATTTCGGTCAATTAGAAACATAGATGTCTGTTTTAAAATGTCAGCATAAATTTATGAACTTTTGACAGACAGTAAATGTATTTTTAATAAGAACACATTATTTATAAGTCTAATTATTATCTACAACGTCTTATGGTACTGGAAACATGTTTTTGATCATTTTACTGCACAAAAATAAATGCGAAAGATTTTCTTGACACTGTTGTAAATGTTAACAATCAGCAGGTGACGTATTTTGCAAAAAATCTAAAGATTTGTAAATAGATCGATACAATGAATAGCACGATACAATGGGGTTCCACTATATATTATATAGGAGCTGCTTATCTCTGTCTCTGAAAATACATTATAATCTATATCTTCCTTCTCGTTTAATAATTTCCATACTTGTATGATATCACCTCTAAATCTTCTGTATGCCAAAGAAGGAATTTCCAGAATTTTTAATCTTTTTTTTTTTTTTTTGAAAGACACTGTCTTTATGCATAGAACTGAAGGGGCGGGGTAGATTTGGATATATGCATAATTTGCTGTAGCTGAACATAAACAGACACAGTCTATACCTCACGATCTAATGATTCATTTGGGCCAGAAAGCTCATCTTCATCCGATTCAGATGCTTCGCCTTCAACAATTATTTTAGAATTTTCCATTTTTTCACGTCAGTATATTGCAGAGGCTTGGACACAATCTCATCTTCTCGGCCCTTTCGTCAGTTATTATTAATAATAGCCGAGATATTCCGATTGTTATTTTTACAAAAATGGCCTGCAGGACAGGGCGGACCGTGAGACTAGGCGGACCATATATTGGGACAGGGCGGACCGTCACTCGAGACGAGGCGGACCGTAATTTAAAAAAAGTATTTATATGTGGACTAATGTAATAAAAGTATTAAATTATTGATGTTTTTGTTCTTCGTTTTAATATTTCAATGCATATATAAAAGTAAAAATATAAAATAAATTTTAAAAGTTCATGTGTAATTGAATATTAATTTGCTGAATGGACGATGTCACTCGAGATTTAATTGTGGATGATTTTGGTATTCTTTATAATATTTCAATCTAAACCTTTCTATGTAACATATGAAACATATATATACTGAACCAAAAAAGGAAACTTTCGCAAAGTATCATGTGCCAGTTGTCAAGGGTACCACATAGATGTACACACTTGTATATATGTAGTAGCTCGTAAAACTCGTTTTGTTTGCAAAATCGGTCAGCTAATCCCCGTATAAAAGCCCGAAATGTTTATTCAACGTAAAAATCGAGTTTCAAAAGGATTGAAAAACTGTACTAACATATCTACATTCAAACTTGGAGAAAGTTTCTTTTTTGTTTCAGTATATTAGAGTAGTTTAAAAAAAAATTCTCAAGAAATTATTTGTAACTGCGTCGACTTACGCAAGTGATAATTGACCAATTATCGGGATATAACAATGTTATTGTTTGTATAAGGCGCTAACGCTGCTAAAATTGATAAACTTTATTAAACAATTAGACACATAAAAAACATATTTTGTTGTACAATACACGAAATAACAATGATAACGAATAACATCACATTAAAATTATTTGCAATTCAACACAATAACAAAAAAATGAAGTGACATATTTGAAAAACATCTTAAAAAAATCTTTAAAAAATCTTATTAAAATTTACATAATAAGCACAGACACATGAAATAAAATGAACACTGAAATAGAATTTATTAAACAATAAGACACATCAAAGAACTTTTAAAACTTACTGTATTTTATATTTTTAATTGAATATTTGAATTGAAATATCAATACGAAGAACAAAAACATCATAATTACATTAGTCCACATATAAATACTTTTTTAAATCACGGTCCGCCTCGTCTCGAGTGACGGTCCGTCCTGTCCAAAAATACGGTCCGCCTAGTCTCGAGTCACGGTCCGCCCTGGTACGGTCCGCCCTGTCTCACGGTCCGCCCTGTCCGTAATTCACAAAAATGAAACCGGAAACTGCTCAATCGAAGTGAAAGCGCGCGGTGTTTTGAGAGAGGTAAAGAGGGGGTAGTCACTAAGCTCATAATTTGTTTACATTAACTTACATTTGTCTTATCGCATAGAATGAGACATGGACAACGGTAAAAAGGATCTTGATTGATGTTTGTTCTTACCAAAATTTAAATGATTAGCCTAATAATCTGAGAGTAGAAATAATTTGAGCCGCGTCACGACAAAACCAACATAATGGGTTTGCGACCAGCAGCCTGCGCATCCGCGCAGTCTGATCAGGATCTATGCTGATCAGGATCTCTACTTGTAATATGGTTGGTAAGTGAACAGCATGGATCCTGATCAGACTGGGCGGATGCGCAGGCTGGTCTGTCCATGCTACTCGGAAACGCACTATGTTGGTTTTGTCGTAACGCGGCTCACTTGTTTTGTCTGTTTTTTAAAGTTATCTAAGAGAACATGCGTCATTTAAGAATAAACACCACCTGGGGAATTCTAGTTTAAATGGCCATGCGGAAGCCCATTCAAGGCAAATCAATACTTTTAAACAATATATTTGCAGACAACGTGGAAAAGGTTGAGAAGTTCATTTTCTTTGATAAAACCATCTTAACATTTCTTACTAATACTAATTTATATTCAAATTGAATAAAAAAAGGTCCCTAGAACTGCTATGAAATTTTGAATAAACATGAGATATGGTGTTACCTTCAGGCCTATATTCCTATTAAAAAGTAAAGTAAAAAATGTAATATTGAAAACATGGTTATGCTGGACAAGTACCAGTAACCTACACAGGTAACTTTGATTATTTGTTAAAAGGTAAGATTTGGGGCCTGAAACTGCCAGGAAACCAGTATATAAATTCATATAGTCATCAAATTTTTTTTTTAATTAATAAGGTAGTCATTCTGTAATTTAAACATAATATTTCATTGTAATAGCGAGCTCGACGAGCTGGCCCGAAGGGCCTGCTCGCAAAGCGAGCTTTAGGGTAACGCGAGTACCTGCTAAGTGATGGTTTTGAAAACTTTCGTCCGAAGTACTGAATTGGACACATCGCAACCTTTCGAATTTAATGATAACGATAAAAACTGAGGAATTCTGACTGAAAACGGATGTGTAGACTGGTCACCCGCGCACGTTAGACTGGTCCCCTGCGAACTTCTAAAAAGTACTTGGATGGGAACCATAATAGGACAGGGAACCAGATTACCGCGCACGTCTATGGGAACCATAATTGGACAGGGAACCAGAATAACGGAAGCTGTGTATAAAATATCGAATGACAGTTTTAAAACGGAAAATGTAAAATGAAAATTGAAGGCGCCATTTTATTTGAGAAATCTGATAAATAAAAACAATTTTTTGTCGAATTTTGTTGTGAAAACTATCTAGAATGAAAGAAAATGATCTAACTAAGAAAATGAATCCGAACACCAATATCTTTTATTCGGTCGTTAACGCTGTACAGACGTTTAAAGTATTGTTTACTTGACGTCACAATGTAGCGCCAAACAGCACGTGCAAAACAAACAAATCAAGTACGCTATTTTAATGTCGCAAACGTTTTAAGTTTTACATTTATTTCACTTTTAATAACCTTTATTTCGCTTGAAAAATTATACAGTGAAATAAAATAAACAAAGTTTTATCAACGTTTTCAAAACTCGTTATTCATTTAACGACAGGGGCGGAGCCATATTTAACACAGTACGTGTGACGTCACACGCACTCGTCACTGCATTTGAAATAAAAATGAGCGATTATTTCATACTTTTTGTGTCGCCTTGAAAAGGTGACATATAGGGATTACTTTTGTCGGCGGTGTCGGCGGCGTCTGTGTCGGCGGCGTCGTTGTCGGCGTCGGCGTCCCCTAAAGCTTGTCCGGAGCATAACTCAGTCACTATAAGTCTGATTGACTTCAAACTTGGTATGCATGCTTCTTTCAATAACCCGAAGTGCAGTGCACAAGGACCAGTACTCTGCAGTTCTTATTTTTTGAGTTATTGCCCTTTGTTAATTTTCACACTTTAATTTTGTCCGGGCCATTTCTCTTCAACTAAAAAAGCTATGGACTTGAAACTTCATAGGATGATAGATCTCATTAAGAAGAAGTGCAGTGCACAAGAACCGGTACTCTGCACTTCTTATCTTTTGAGTTATTGCCCTTTGTTAATTTTCATACTTCATTTTTGTCCGAGCCATTTCTTCTAATGTATAAAAGCCATGGACTTGAATCTTCATAGGATGATAGGTCTCATTAAGAAGAAGTGCAGTGCACAAGAACAGGTACTATGCATTTCTTATTTTTTTGAGTTTCTGCCCTTTGTTTATTTTCATACTTTAATTTTGTCCGGGCCATTTCTCCTTAAGTATAAAAGCTATGGACTTGAAACTTCATAGGATGATAGATCTCATTAAGAAGAAGTGCAGTGCACAAGAATAGGTACTCTGCATTTCTTAATTTTTGAGTTATGGCCCTTTGTTAATTTTCATACTTAATTTTTGTCCAAGCCATTTCTCGGAAAGTATAAAAGTTATGGACTTGAAACTTCATAGGATGATAGATCTTATAAGAAAAAGTGCAGTACATAAGAACTGATACTCTGCATTTCTTATTTTTTGAGTTATTGCCCTTTGTTGATTTTCTCACTTTATTTTTGTCCTGGTCATTTCTCCTCAAGTATGAAAGCTATGGACTTCATAGGATGATAGATCTCATTAAGAAAAAGTGCAGTGCATAAGAACTGATACTCTGCATTTCTTATTTTTTGAGTTATTGCCCTTTGTTGATTTTCTTACTTTATTTTTGTCCTGGTCATTTCTCCTCAAGTATGAAAGCTATGGACTTTAAACATCATACTAAGATAGATCTTATTGATAAGAAGTGCAATGCACAGAAACTGCTGCTCTTCACTTATTATTTCTTTTAGTTATTGCCCTTTGTTATTTTTCATATTTCATTTTTGTCCTGGCCATTTCTCCTAAACTACATTGTTCACAAGGCGACACATCCGACTCACGGAGTTCTAGTTCTTGTTAAAAGTATATCGAGCTCGCTTTGAGGCTTTGCCTTTTTCATATTAACACTTATTAAGTTAACAGGGTTGTAGCATGTGGATGGTGGAAGAGGGGAAGGGTGGTAGTGATGGTCTTTGACACATGCGGAATAACTGTGTGTTAAAAAAGATAATAAGGACCCTGTGAATATCAGTGATCATGCACAGGTATATATTGTTGTATAAAAAATATTATATTTCGTGCATATTTTCACTGAGTGAAAAAATCTTTCTTCAGTTCTATCACAAAAAGATGATTCAATATACAAAAGCTTTGAACAAAATATAATTAATTGTATATGGAATTTTTTAGATGATGTCTGAAACATGATAGAATCATGGGAAAAGCAAAAAAGCCTCCAAGCGCCAGTAAGGTAAAACTTTTAAGTATAACAGAGGGCCAAAATATTTGCTTTTAATTCTGTAAATGCTCTGTGGCTTAGTGGTGAAGGTAAATAATTGGTTAAGGCAAAAAACTTTAAACCACTCGGCCCTCAAAACTGTGGGTTTGAATGTCGCAAGGGACTTAGAATTCTTTCATGTTAGAAAGATTTCCAGCTAACACTTAGGGAAAGTCAGTGGTTTTACTAAGGTGCCTTCTTGTACCTAAAATAATGCATAAAGGGACACTTGAGGTCCTCCCTGACCAGTTGCCACATG